ACCATTCGCTTTTAAGAAAATTTACTACCATATTTAGTTCAAACAACCATTTTGGGAAAAATATTTATAAAATTTATACAATAATTTTTGCAGCAGATAAACATGTAAAGCATTATACACTTTAAGCTTCAAAAACACGTAAAACAGAATAATGATAATGGTTTTCTAGAAAACTAATATATTATAATATCTTCAATATCTAGTCCCAGGTAGGCCTCAACGTTGTATCATCATATACACACGTTAATCCATTTTACAGTCTTGAATATGCAGCGAAAACTTGAAATTGCTATGTAGCTGTTACTTTACAAGCAACATCCCAGACAAATAAAGATAATCCGTATTATTAATTCATGCTCATTCAAGCTTGTTCGTGCAGTTTATACTTTCTTCTAAAACCTTAATGTCTATTTCGTCTGAAACTGTTGCTTGCATCCAGAAACTCATCATTGTTAAACTATATAATTCTTTTGACCTAAACCGATTGATTAGAGAGTTTTATAGCGTCAGGTACCAAGACAAGAGATTGCAGGTTAGATATATTGCTGGTTAGAAATTATACATTACTGACTAGTGTTCCACTGAATATGAGGTGATATTTCCCGGAAGATGACATATTGACCACCGAGGCGAGGAATGACTTTCTGTCGGTGAATATCACATCATATTCAATGGCTCACTAGCCAATAATTGTTTTATATGAATAGGGTAAGGATTGAAATAATCACAAAGAGTACAACCTGAAACATGTTCAACATTTGCATGATTCGTTGAAGCGAGGGAAAAAGACGCACGTGTTAGGCGTGCAACGGCAAAGCGAACATACAAACGTAACGTAAACGAAGTATATACTCATCATTGCAGTGTAACCTTTAAGTATACTAGTAAAGTAATGATATTCATATCGAGAAATATAAATGCGCACGCGTAATTAACAATCTACGATGTATGGTCATTGAAAATAATTTAAGCCTGGGGAAAAACTAATTTAGCCAATGAATATGATGCTACACCCTGTTAATATGATTTAGATATCGGGTAATAGCAAGTAACACTTTAAACAATTATACATATTGTTGCACTTAGTTATTTCCATGATTGGTCATCATCATACAGAAATAGACTTTAGATAGTGTGTTAATTTCTTAATGTAACATTTCCGCTTATTTATTGCGGAAGGCAGCAAATTCAAACATGCATGAACACTTTTTCTTTAAGTGGTTAATTCAAGAAGATAGAGGTTTAAAGTGTATGCTTTGATTTATATCATTTTCCTTATATTAGGCTACAAAAGGAATTGTCTCCTCTGCTTTAACAAATAAACTCAAACTATTTTTACAAATATTTCGTTGTTACTGCAAGACGTCAGTCATGAACTCTTATATATTTGCGTGTCGATGTTTCAAGTAGGTCATATAATTTTGATCGTCTTTACTGAGAATTTTATGAGAGTATCGATTCATTAATTGCTTTGAAGATTCTTTTACTGGCTCAGTCAATATTCTTAGCATATATTTAAAGTTACATATTAATTTCTGAAACCAGTTGAATTATAATATTGAAAACAGATGTATTTTTTCCTTTTCCTGCAAATGTGGTCATTACAAATCTAAAATATCACGTTATTTTAAATGATCTATACCGCATAGCTGTATGCTAAGCACAAAGTCATACGCTTTCAGAAGAAAGAGCATGTTATAATGCTTTTTATACTTTCTGTTAATTTAATTAATTGCCAAATAATCCAACATATACATGATGATATATTGACTGTCCATTTTCTGAAATGTGATACTGTAATTTACAGATTCGAAGCAGGGCAAAAAAACTTTTAATCATATTTAAATTGTTTCCATTTTAAAAGATTATTGTACTGTTCAGCAGTTTGGGGTATATTGGTTTAATAATACTATAATTAAGTAGGACTTATAGGTCAATGGGCCGGGTTGTTTTTGTTATGTATTTCTTTTTTATAATGTATTGTGGAAAATGATAAATGACACAAATGTCACTTATAAAAACAAATTTACTTACTTACTTAAACTTATACAGAATATTAGAAAAACCCCACGTTTCAAATTCAAATGTTTATTGAATTTATATGAAAAATGGTTCATTACTATTTATGTCAAAACTTAAGGAAACAGATTGGGACACCGGTTTGCGTTCATTTTTATTGATTTTATAATTATGTTCGGATTTTCCAGGGGACATGGGGTAAAAGTATTTGATGTTCAAGTCGTAAAAGGCTTTCTTATCATTTTATCTTGTTAGTACGGGATTGATATTTTCTTTTAAAGAAATTTGATGAGGAAAAAAAAAAAACAATTGTTTTTTTCTTTACTTTTTTATCTTTTTTTCAGAAAGGTCTGTATAAAAGAGAGTCATCGAGTGTTTTATGATATTAACAGAACGTAATTAGTTGGAAAAAATTCCAAAATTTAGTTCAATAATATTCAGCATAGACTAGAATCACACTCGAAGCGTAATAAAATCGCTATTTCCAGGTAGCAAATCAAATAAATGAATTGAAATTGGACTTTTTATAATACTATTGTTTAACACAGAATTCAAGTATTTCATTTTTTACTATAATAATAAAACAAACAATGTAGTGTTAAAGATTATCATCTTTTTTTCTTAATATATTTTTCCAAGATTTTCTTATCATGTTCCACTGGAAAAATCGATACAGATTTTTGTCTAAAGATATATAATTATTTTTGTCATTTTGTCAATTAATAAAATTGTAAATTGGTAGATATCGTGTCTTGTTTGTATTTCTTTACCGTGGTACGTTTTATATCCGTCATATATGTCTATCTTTGCTTATTACGGTCAGAAATATAATCAGCTAATTGTTATTGTTTAATATATATGAAATTATATATGATTAGATAATCAGAAAGATAACTTAATAAATTAACTTTTTCAAAATATATACCATGCAATTATTTAATTTACATGTTGAGTGTACCTGCTACGTATAAATCACATTTCTTTCCTACATTACCATTTGCTTTGCTAAACGCATAACATTAAATAATGATATCAGATTATAAATGAATACACATATTCTCTATCATTTGCATAACCAAAATGAATATCCTTGATTTTAGACAATGCTTAATAACATATACATGCAATTCTTTACTTTCTGTTATCTATATAGAAGTTTGAATATGCATTGGGCCATATTACTACACCCAGGTTTCTATTTTTCGTGGCATATCAGATAAGCTTTATGTCATATTTTCTTTTGGCATGTATATATTAAATATTTAACATCGTAATATGGTAATTTTGTATCATTGATTTTAATACATTTGGCACTGCTCATAGCGGTGCTAGGAGCCGTCGTAAAGGTTTCCTACTAAATGGACTCGACTTAGTCTGCACTTTTCATATATTTGATTTGTCTCTATTTTTAATATTTGTGTTTTTTGAGAAAAATTTTTTTTGTCGTGTTTATTTTATTAATATTTCATTAAATTTTTAATTTCATTTTGTTTTTATTTTAATTTTAAAAAAATAAAGATAAATAATTACAATATGAAGTTCGAAAAGTATGTATCTGCCCCCAGACAGGAAAAATGAACAAAAAACAGAATAAGTTTTTTAATAAATCGTATGCGAACAGCATATTGATTAAACAATAATATTTTACATGCATGCATAAATATGACTATGTAAAGTACAGCAAATGCTTATACAATGAGCATTTATAACTTTCTAGATTTGAATCAATATATAAAATAAAATCACATTGAGTTCGTTACTAAGTATGAGACTATATAAGCTTTCATTTGCATGAGATATCGCAGTTTGCGATGTAGGAAAGACAAACAGAAACATTTGTTCTTTGTGAATATCCAGTGTTTCTTTCTCAGCAGAGGTTTTGATTTTTAGAAGTGATATTAATACTTTTAGAAAATGTCGGTGTTACCTTTAATAAACAGTTATTTTTACAGTGGATAAACAAGCCTTCCACGAGTATAATATAAATGAATATTTCTTTCAAACAGAATATAAATTTACATTAGCATCTTCGGTTTGAATCAACAAAGTTGTTGTTCTTAATGAGATAAAAAAAATGACGTGACAAAATGTAAAAAAATGTTTTTATTGAAAGTTTAAATGATCAACAGTAAATTTTTTTGAAGTCTTTTTTTCCCAATTTTTTTTGTGTTTAAAACATTTTTAGTGATTACATCTTCCGATAAATTTTTTTTAAATTTAGAATTAAAAAAACATTCCATGTAACCCAATGTGAAAAACAATATTATAAACAAAGTATATAGAACGCATAACGGGGTTTATATTTTAAAAAATTTTTCACCTTTTTTGAGTATAATTAAAAAGAAAAATAAATTGTGAAAATTTAAATAATTGTAAAACCCTTGCTACAAACATTTCCGTGTCAAATTGCATATATCGCTAGTAAAATAACATATAATATGATTTGTGTAACAGGAGGAATACGATAAATAAGATTTTAATTGCTTATTTAAAATATCTGTTTAACTGTTGAATGAATTTATTATAAATGAGCGATGTAGACAAAGGAAGTTGTTAAATATGGTTAAAGAAAATCAGAAATAAACATACATACGTATCAATTTGGATGTTTCAAATGAACTTTTGAAGTATTTTCTGTTAAGAAAGTATTTCCCCAATATAGATTTCCATTTGTTTTTTAAAGGGCGTGAAGAAATATTCAAACTTAACATTCAAATATACATTCTCAATTTGTTGCAAAATTAGCTTACAACCAAATTGCTATATCTGGACTAGTTTTTAATTAGGCTGTTAGATTCCTGGCATCATTAAAAAAATTTAAAGTCACAAATGCCAAAGGTATAAAATCTCCTATAGGCGACCTTAATTACTGCTGTATGAACGTTTGGGAGAGGACGTCAACAGATGTTAGCGAGACAGAATACCAGTCAAATAAATCGATAACCGTTCTGCAGATATAATAGCTTCTCCCCGCATAGCAAACTCAATATCAGTTACATGGTCGACTCGCGCACAATCGCTTTATAGCTGTTTTACCAAATTATATAGAAAAACGTATGTTATGTTATGCTAGTGTACTACAAGGATATAACAAACGTGTGAGAATTGGCTCTGAATCAAAACACAATTCTTGGCAACGTCATTTTACTAAGTGTCTGCTACAAACACGGGATTTATGAATTTGATAGAAAGGTTTGTAGATTTTATCACTATTTATCATTTGAAAGTCTGTAAAACAATGTGTGATGAACTAACTAAGATTTACCATATCTTCTACAAGATTTACTCACTGCATTAGGATAACTTTGTCAATTATTTGAATGAATTCAGACTAAAAAAGAAACAATAACAATTGTTTCTGAACAACCAAAGCAGAGCAAACGACATTTGTTAGAATTTTATATTTTAATTTTCCAAATTCTCATTATTATGACTGTGATATTGACTGTCATATAAGAAAGAAACATTTTAAATAGAGAGATACAACAATTTATGCTTTTGATTTCAGACGATGCAATCATAATGTGTTATATCAAACTGTAAAATTGTTTCGGATCGATGCATTATCTCATTTGTTTAGTAATCATATCAACAAATATTTAGTCATTAAAATAAGATAATTTTACCATCACAGTACTGATTATATAAACATACATGCATATCAAATCTAGTTTATACATATCAATACATATCTAACTTATCATTTTACTAATATACTTGGATAAAACAAATTTAAGCATCTGAAATGTTATGCACGACGTCATATAACAGGAATATGTTCACATTTTTATGTTCGAAGTAATAGTTAACAATAATTCTCTTTGAGATAGTGATTACGGAAAGAGTTTCTAAAAAAGCTTTTCAAGCTTCCTACTCAATCCGTACTATTTATTATTTGTCAATTATCATGTAAATGTAATACTTATAAATAAAACATTGTTTAAACTAATAATTCACCGTCACAAACTTTACTTCAAAACGTTTTATTAAACACCTTCGCTGTCTTATTTATAAAATTAGCTTTTCCTGCTTTAAACTTTTACCCTTTATTGTATTTCCAGTTATTTTTTATTAATTCCACAAAGCAGACACGCATTTCTAAACTGTGATGGTTCAATAAAAACTAAATAAAAAGAAGAAAGAAGAAAAATAATATTGTACTGAAACGTTTTGAATTATTTTCGATTAATTTATCGTTGTAAAATGGACACAAAAAGAAAATATACATCTTGATAAACAAATGCAAAACTATATGAGTGAAGATATGAATGTAACAGTGGTGGTCAAGAATTATGTATCACGCTAGTCGGTCTCATGTAAATGACACAGAGACATTGTGACGGTCAGTAAATGACATTCAGGACCACGTTTAGAAAAAAAACTGTAATGTAACTTTCTATTCAGATGATCATTAGATCATTTTCCAAAAGAAACAAAAAGAAACCAAAAAACAATAAATCAACCCGACGTTTGAAACTCTCTAGAGCTAGAAAAGACTGTTCCTACGGACTAAATAGTCAAGTATAACATTTATATCTACAATAAATGTCGATGAACTATAATTAATCAGAGTTTATGTTCCATGTGCCCTATAAATACTTGTTTACAAGATTAACAGTAAAAATGCAAAATAACATTTGGTCAAAATAGGACAACATTGATCGAAAACATAAATGACGGTGTGTGAAGCAGCGAATTCGGCAACACAAACATTTCAAAATACCAATTCAAGAATTTAAATAGTTCAACCATAATTATTATCCGTGTTTCACACGAAACATAAGTACTTAAATGGTAATAAATTCGCGGAAAAATGAGGTCAGAGTTTTCCCTGAGGAAATTATTGGTAAAAGTAATCTTTGTGATCGATTTTAGGAAGAATCCGAAAGAAACAGCGATGTCTAAATGTAAAACCAAGGCTTCATAACGATTTGCTGTAGACAGAAACTTGATTTATAAAAATAGAATATTCAATTGCATGTATTTGCATATTTGTGTAGGATGTCGTCTGCTGTAACATTCTTGTACAACATGGAGAAGAAATTGATTTTTACTATTCACGATATTTTGATAAAAAAGCTTTTAATCTTGTACATTTTTGCAAATTTTGCGGTTATATGAATAGGAAACTTTGACGCTTACATTAAAATAACTCTGACTATTACATAAATTCACAATTTAGATATCATGTTGATTATGGGTTGAATAATTACTTTTTTCAATTCAAAAAGTCAGATGTATTGCAAACTCTTTTTTTCTAGCCATGAATATTTTACTATTTTGCACTTCAATCATGGAAAATGTTTCCTTAAAGACATGGTGTTTCTCCATTATATCAGAATGTTTGATAAAAGTTAATATACAATGTATATAAGTATGTATGTAATCATCTGATGTGAACTAATCATACATTGCCTTCACCTTAAATGATCTGATTAATGCTCTATACTTTCTGCTCCATGTCTAACCTTCATTCCGAGAAGAAACATGCTCGATTTTCTCTCGTCTCTTAACGTTACATATTTTCAAGGACGAAACATGTGGTTCCATTACATGCATAAACATTCAAGATAAAATAACTGGGTTCTTTTTATCTTGAACGTATGTGTCACAAGTCAACTAAACTTTACAATAATTTTTTGATTTAAAAATAAATTATAAAATTTTTTAAAAAACTTAAGTTAATTGTATTTTTTGTGTTCAGCAATTTTTTTAATAATTTTTGTTAACCTTTTCAGTTTTGTTTAAAGGGTTTTTTAGAATGAATAAGAGCATAAACGAAAATTTTAAAAAAAGACAAGAACGAACGAAAAATTATAAAGTGAAACTAAACAGTTACAGATAACAATCATGAATATTTAAATATTTGTAACATTAAGAAAGTATTTGAGATAAAATGCAAAGATTTAGAGGTATAACGATGATCGTTAGCAAATGTTAAGAAAGATGCACAAAGCGTTCAATTCTGTTCGAATTGCTGTTTTACATGTTGTTGTGGTATAGAAGTGTTACAGTACAGGTATATAATACATGGAGAACGAGGAGAACGTATGATGTAAGGAATGATGATGATTCATACAGTCTTCATAGATTGATTGCACGTGTTAAGACTATTTCTGATTAATATATAGGTTATGACGTTAGTACATCAGGCTACCATCAAATCGTTCAGCAGTTTTCTACCTTATAGCAGGTATGCCGCTAGGAAGAGAATTTTTCATAGAAAATATTGCCATACAGATTGGCTGATTTTAATGTGTATTTTATCGGAGATAAGACATATGTAAACTTCAAAAAGGAATATCTAGAATAAGAAAAGTTTTAAAGAAACTTGGAATATGAAAATATGGTAGGATTATTTTTTTTCAACTGAACACTTTTATATATAGATATATAATTTCCTAAATTTTTTAATAATATGATTTTAGTAAATAAAGTTATAATAATAATTTATATAGGTTAGCTGTGATATTATTATAGTTTAGGTAACGGTCGTTGTTTGTTAGTCAGCATTAATGATATTTATCGAATTAATGCTGACTCAACAACCACTAACCTAGTTATTAAAATTATGTTTTGAATATTTATATCTTGTGAGTGTGTAAGTAAATACTCTGAGTTAACGGTATAATTTTCCAATTAAATAATTGAGAACAGATTAAAAAAATAAAATAAAACAAAGCATTTGAAAAATGGAACGATCTCATTGGACAAAATATAATTTCAACCACTAAGAACCATAAATGATATCGAAACATAAGTAATTTGCTGTCATGGTAACTCATTGATCAAACAATTCAATCAACATATACTGTCATCATTTTTGCGTCATTACTAAACCTTGTCTGCAAATAGCGGATCTGGATATTTTTCGATTTCATCGTCTGTAATTGAACGGCAAGACACCATATTAAGATTTTTATATAATTCTTGGACACTTCATTGAACACGAGCGTGAAGTAATCATATTAGTTAGTTATGTACTGTTTCGAATATATATCATTGTGATCAGGTGTAAGTTATAGCTAAATGTGTTGGTTTAGGTTATGTTTATTCTATACAGTCTTGACGTTTAAGTCATATATTATTAATTCTGATTCCGACTGTGTGTAAAAACGTTGCGTGATATGCTGCTATCACTTAATAATACTGCCACATTGATACATTCACCTTTGCTTTAGGCATATTGGAAACCCTATAATATCCCTTTGTAATTAAATAATAGAGACTTAACACTAATGGGGTTCGATAATCTATAATTAGATAAATGTGTACTGTTAGATATTCACTTTGCCTGGCTAATTGAAACATTCTTTTTTTTTTTCCTGATGAGTCCTTAACCTTCAACCAGCAAGAAGATATTTATGTGTCTCTATTAAGACTATGCTATATAAATGAGATACGTGTTCATTACAGGATGTTAATGAATGTTCTTCAATTGTTGGCATTTTTATAACATTAGTTTATTATCTGTCAGAGAAATAATTAGATTGATACTGATGGTATAGATGGATGGCTATGAAATAATTAGTACTTAACTTATCAAGCTTATACTAGAGATTTATATATAAGTCCATGTATCAATTATTTGATAAGTAAATGTTAAACATTGTTTTGCATTGGTTTCTTTGCTTTGCTTTGGGTTAATTGTTCTTTTATTTTCTAAAAGTTAAAAGCGGTCATGGAAGGATACACCCCTGTAGTCAGACCAGAATGTAATTTTTTTGTGTGTTTTTTTTTTTCCACTAATATTATTGGTCATTGAATGCGTACATTTAAAAAATAGAATCCGAGACTAAAACATTAAACAAAATCATTGGGAGAATAAAAACGCATTTAAACGCATTACAAAGTGAAAAGTCAAGTTGAAACATAGAGTGTAATTAATTATGTTCGTTCATTGGCACGTTTCAAAGTAGGAAATAAAAGTACTGATATTATTTGGTTGCGTGCAATTTTATATCTCTGGGCAGAAAGCATTGCTCTATCCGCTTGAGAATCATTTCATGATGAAATATCCTAATTGATCGTCCTTAATAGGCTTTATTTTTAATCCTGATTCAGTTGTTGTGTGTACGAAATGATTTATTTACGAAATGTTTCAATGAACTCATCAGAAGTTGTACTTAAATCAGACCAATATATTTTTGTCCGAAATATCAAACTTGAATGGATTGGTCTACAAATTGCACTTTTTCTATACGTATTTAAGATATTGATAAAAAAAATAGAAATTGTTATTTGGATAGTCTTATAAAATATGTTGATAGAGTTCTACAGTAATTTAGTATGAACATACATATGATGAATAATAATATAATGTATAACAATTTATAATCTATGAATATGTCATATCCGATCTAATACAAAAGTCTTACCAACAGCATCCATTTATAATTAATTTGTGCTTTGTTGTCGTGTATGATACTTAATATTATCAACATAATTATTTATTGTATAACATATTATATCTACATCTATAACCAGTAACAGAAAGCTTAAACAAGCTTATAGTAAACCAGGTAAATAATAGATCATGTTTCCCTCAAACTATATGAAAATTATCACTATCGTATTTATCATTTCAGTAAGACTGTGACGTCAATAGCATAGCATGGTTCTGTAATAAACTGTTCGTCTGGGCGATCAATTCCTGTGAAGTCATATCAGACAAACTATGAGCATGCCGAAATCACCGCGTTCAAGTACTTCTGATAACCTTCTTCAACTGAATCTGAAAGACCACTACGAGGTTCTGCGAGACCTTGGTAGAGGCACATACGGAAAAGTAGTTCTTGCAAAATGCATGGAGACAGGAACAAATGTCGCTTTGAAGGTATTACCAAAAAGCTCCACTAAGCTACGAGAGTTTCAGAGGGAATTTCAATACAGTTATTTCTTGTCTCCTCACAGTAACATTGTCGATTCATACAATGTAGCCTTTGAAACTAGAAGTTCTTATGTTTTCGCGCAGGAGTTTGCTCCTGTTGGGGATTTGTTCGATGCCATTCCGCCACAAGTTGGTATGAAGGAAAGAGACGTTAAACTGGTTGTGAAGCAAATAGCATCAGCTTTAGAATTTATGCACAGTAAACAACTTGTGCATCGTGATATTAAACCAGAAAATGTTTTGATTTTCGAAGCAGACTTTAATAAAGTGAAACTCATGGACTTTGGAATGACGCGGAAAGACGGCACTGTGATAAGAAAAACAAACGGAAGTATTCCGTATACACCACCTGAGATTTGTGAAGCCGTCCGGAATGAAAATATAACTGTTTCAGCAAGTGGGGATGTTTGGGCATTTGGAGTGCTTTTATTTTGTATGCTTACCGGAAATTTCCCTTGGGAAAATGCAGATATTGGTGATATATACTTTAGTGAATTTGTAACTTGGCAGCGTCGGAAAACTTCGAAAATACCGTCGCAATGGAAAAGGTTTACGCCTAAATTTCTGAGATACTTCAGAAAAGTTTTAGATATAAAACCGGAGCGACGTTGTGATGTGAAAGAAATTACTAAATATCTCAATGACAATTGGTTGCTACCGTGCCGCAATTCAGACGACTCAACGGAAGAAGATGAGGACGAGTGCGCATCCGGAAGTGATCCAGCGGATAACTTGGCTCTCATCCTGCAAAATCATGGTATTGATACAAAAGTTGACAAACATTTGAGAGACGTTAGAATATCAGAATGGTTGTTATCTCTGTGACTAGTAAAAGACCTCCAGTCGTTACATCATTACCATGCTAGCAAAATTCGGTGCTTTCTTTGTGACTCAAGCGTGCGGTTGGTGTTAGTGACGCTGACATTTATAAGCGTAATTGTGATGCTATTTAAGTGATTATCGTGCAAATATATAAATCTATTGTAAATACAATTGTATTGAATTGTTATTACCGGTATCTATGTATGAAACAATATAAGTATAGGCGATAAGCATGTGTCATTGACGTCGAGTTTACATTCCTATTTTCACAAATTATTATGTTATGAAATAAACAGCAATGTATTGTATTGTCTATATCAAGAAAATGTAAAATAATACTAAAATACGAGTATGTCTATTCCAAAAATATTCCTCAATAGATAAATGCTTTACCTTTACAGAATTACTTTGGTTTATGTAATAAATCGATGAAATATGAATTATGTTTTGTAGTTATCAATTTATACATCGTTTGTATGTTTGTATTCCCCTGGTACCATTGCACTCTTCATGAAATACAGACATGATTTAAATTAGAATGTACGTTGCCAAATCAAAGAGTCAATCAGATATATAGTTGTATATTTGATTTTATATTCTGATATTTTAATAATCTTCAAATATGAGATAAGTATAAGAAATGTATCCTTTCCTTTATGCTATAATATATGGTTTACTCAATGGGTGCAGGCAATTTTAAACTGTATAAAATATTGGATTTCATCTTCGTGTTTACATGTATATAACGCTTGGTCTGAATGATGATACTATATGATCCTGGACTAATAGTGAAAGCCGCCAAATATATAACAAATGAGATCATTTTGCAATTAAGACTTTAATATGATATGCATCTGTAGTTCTATGAGCGGTAGGAAGAATGAAATCGACCATTCATTCACTCAACAACAGTATTTTAGTTAATTTATGATAAAACCAATGTAATATTGGATGTAATAACATCATAATGAACATTCTGTTTTCATTATTTGCATCGAACTTTTGACAAATACTGTTAACAGATAACCAATATTTGATTATTTGATGGACCATCGTTTCCGATGTTTTCATGATAAATGTATTAATAATCTAAAGAAGCCTGTTCTTACCCCATTATTTATCACCTCTCTTATAATTACCTTTATAATCATAGCCTTGTTTCAGTGGTTCGGTCATTCTGCCTTTGCAGAGAATTATTATATCAATTCACTCTCTCTTCACATTGATATGGAGCGATATTGGGAAACAAATCGATATATCATTTTTTATCAAGAGGTTTGTGAATATTTGTTTACACTCAATGTTATTCTAGCAAGAAGGTCATGCTTGTTTATTTGCATAATTGACTGACTTTCTTTGGTTCTCAATTATGTAAAGGATTCACAAGTACAAATAATGAGAGGCTATGTTCTTATAAAGAATTATTAAAGTACCCGTCTTGACATTGATACAAAATCTTTCTAGCAGCATTTACGATACGTGTATGTTATCGTGTCTCTTGTAGTAATATTATCATCATAATTATGTTTCTTTTTGACATTCTCGTTAATCATTTTCTACAAGCATACTTATTAAATCATCTAAAATTATATCTAGAAATTCTTTTATGTTTGCAATGTATTAACTATTATAAATTTATACATCTCGTATAAATTGATTAATGTGATACTAAGTTTGATATTGTCAGTTTTACGAAGAAAATACTATAAATAGCCTTAAAAGATTTGTTAAACCCGTTGTAAGCGTTCGATATTTGAGCCGCGTCACGACAAAACCAACACAATGGGTTTGCGACCAGCATGGATCCATGCTGTTCGCTATCAGTTTCTCTACTTGTAATAGGGTTTGTAAGCGAATAGCATGGATCCTGATCAGACTGCGCGGATGCGCAGGCTGATCTGGATCCATGCTGGTCGCAAACCAATTATGTTGGTTTTGTCGTGACGCGGCTCATTTTCCCTGGAACGAATGAGATAAACGCCCACTGAACGGATGAGATGTAATGCTGTTGTCTGTAAATAGTTCCAATATAAAAACATTCTGGTTAAGGTGACAAGTTTGATAGATTAATGGTTTAGTTTCCTTAAATAATTCACCGAAGCTATCAAATCACGAAAATAATTAGCGCTATAATGATTTTGCTCTCTAAAAGTAAATTGTTACAAAGAAATTTCTCTCGTTTAAAACAATTATTTTGTTGACATTAAGTTCAAAATAGTTTAATGATACATCATATAAGATTTTTAGGGAATATGCGTTTATTTGGCTAATCTGTATCATAACAACGATTTTGCATTGTCTAACAATTGTTTTTTATTATCATATGTAACATAAAGAAACATTTAATTGGATTTTAGGGGAAATATCATACGTTAAATTATTATAACAATATTAACTAGTTTTGCAAATAGATAGCGCACTTTTTTCAATCTTTTGAAAGAGGCAAATGATGAAACGATGAAAAAATATAAGAAACTATACTCTATAACTATACTATACTCTGTAACCCTCTTGATTTCATTTAAAGAGAAATTTAGAATCTTAAACTATTTATTGGAATGACGAAGAAGTCCTGATTAAAGTTCTCTCTAAGAATAAAGACTTTCGTTCGAGGAAATGGTTTCTATTTCCAGGAAACTTTTCCGTGTTATTATGTTGTTTTTTTATTTCATGATGAATAAATTCCAATTAGTTGTGCTCAATGTATAAAGAAGAATATTCCACTTTACTGCAGCGTAATAACGTCGAAGAGAATTAATTTGGTAAAGCAATTTCGTGCAGATTATTGTGCGCATGCAAAATTCGTTTCTTGAATTTAAATTTGTGTAACTAAATTTAAAACAAATTATTTTAACGACAACTAAAATATGTCAATTAATGTGTTTTTTATATTAACCCCCATAAAAGGTTGCAATCAGAAACTTTTATGGGCGAGAGTTCATCAAAGATAGTGCTTCTTGGAGCGAGTCCTCAGTCCTAATTAAACAGTAATGTTTTTTCCCTTAAACTTACAAAAAAATTAAGCAACAGTATTCTAAGCCTCGCTTTGCATCCTGATTCAATTCTATTTGAAAGAGGTAGGTTTGTGAAACTTGTCTTTGAATTTAGAATATGTTTCTGTAGAAAACAGGAACGATATAATTACAGTTATCAGATTACATTTGATGATATTAGATTTGGGAATTTATGAGAATTTGATGAATGTAGTCATAATTTTCTCCCCAAAAAATCGGAGACGTTAAAATACTTACTATATTTTGATAACATTTTCCGCTACTTACAAATGAAATAAATCGACATATTTTATGACTATATGTTTTAGCAAAAAGAGAAACGGAAACGACACAAATGATAATGTTACAAAATTCAGTGGAAGAGAAAATGGTTAAGATGTTCAATTAACAAAATTTAAAGATATACTGCGTCATTGGAAAAGTAAATAATTGAACAACAAAATCAGTATCACTAATTTCAACTGAAAAGTTGAAAGTTCGAATATATATTATGCCTACTTCAATGCTGACAAAGTTATCTTGACATCTTTAAGGTGTCTATTTAAACTTTTTATTAATGATATGTACCTGTGTCAGTTAACTGCTAGGCTATGGAAAGCGGTATGGGACTTTTCCGCCGTTACGTTATAACTCCATGTAACCATCACCGAAATCCGCCGTTGAAAAACCCGCCCGCCGTAATACCCGCCCAGGTGTTTGAAATTAAGGGTAATTCCGCCGTTACTATATAACTCATAATTCACTTACCAGTGATGTTTTAAAGCATTATATTTCTTTAATACTATACATAAAACACCTTTAAATGATGTAAACACAATCAAAAGTGTGTTGCAATAATGTTATACACTACATACATAAAAGTTTGTTTTAAGGCAAAAGTATGTAAATAAAAAGTTGATTATTGTGAGATTAAAAGATAAAATGATTATGATTTTAGAAACACGTATTGACGCATGCACATTTATAACGAATATGTTTATCTTGTTAGCTATTACGTTTTACGCAACAAAACCCTGGAAGTCGCCAAATGAGTTAAGCAGTGTCTATGTTACTCAAAACCCCATTAGAAAAACAAAACATATTTATTAGAGTAAACTATATATTATACTATAGGCTCACTTTTACTTAATTTAGAGATTTCACTACGATGGCTCCATATGCTCCTCATTGAACATACATCTTACTCGCTAATTGATTTCTTTTCATTATGTCATACATTGACCCGTAAACATTTATCTATTAGGGGTCTCATATCTTTAAATAAAGAAAAACAATATTTCATTAAAACATTTCCCAATAAACCTAAACGTTTTTGTACAACAATTCATCTTTCAAAAGAATAACGAAATATAATGATACACATATTTATTACAAAACATCATGCAAGTATCAAATAAGAATAAATACCATCTGTTCATTATTAAGATTACAATATGAGCAACGTCATTTTGTATAACTTTTTGCTATTCCAATGAGTTCCTTATTTCATTTTCCGCTAGACATAGAATGATGTTGTAAATGATATGACAATAATTATATAAAAGCAAAAACATACTCTTTCCACGTATTAGAAGAAATTATAAAAAAAAAACTTGCATTTTCTCTTTCCTTCTGTAAGGAAACACTGGTAATATTTAGAACATTGAAAGTTATGTAGGCTAAATAATCATACACGTTGGTCTTATGCTCTCCTTTTCTTTATAACCTCTTGGTATTGATGCTTAGGTAACCGCCTTTTAAAGATACACTTAAAATCTACATAATTCAGAATACAGATATGTTTATTCCACTTTTATTTCATTGTACAAAAATATCTGAAGTGAATCAGTATAATTGTATCAGTATCAGTGTTGTTAATCAAATACATGTATTAAACTTAACAAAGATGTGGACATTAAAAAACAATAAAAGCTTAAGAAAATATCGAAGAGAAAAGTATAATATACCGGTCAACAGGACCGTAACTTATAGTGGTCTTCGGGACGATTACATAAAGTTGTCAAAGAAAAGTAACGTAAAGAGGCCACAGGAAAGTAACATAGAGTAGTCACAGGGAAGGAACATAAAGTGGTCACAGAGAGAGAGAGTAACATAAAGTGGTTAAAGGGAAGTAACATAAAGTGGTCACAGGGAAGTAACTTCAAGTGGTCACAGGGAGAGTAACATAAAGTGGTCACTGGGAAGTAGCATAAAGTGTTCACAGGGAAGTAACATAAAGTGGTCACAGGGAAGTAACATAAAGTGGTCACAAGGAGAGTAACAAAAAATTGTCACAGGGATTGTAACAAGAAGCAGTCACAGGAACAGTAACATAAAGCGTGTACAGAAATGTGTTGTACAATCATTTGATAAGGGTATACCACAACAAATTAATTTGTCTGTTTGAAGGGAATGTTATCCTTTGAAAATTTAGCAAACTATAATCA